TTTTATTGTGTTTGTGAGTTTATCTCTGTGCTGTATCTGTAATTGGCCATCAGGCTGTTGATACAGCACATTAATATAAAGAATTGAATTGAATTATTATGACTTTTTCAACATCCTATCGCCATCTGACTGTCTTATGGATCCATGGAATGTAAATTATTATTATTATTATTATTATGTTATTGGCTTCTTGCTGTTGGCAAACACGTAAATAAATTAATTGAATTAATTGAATTGAATTTCTACTTTTCATAGCCTGCAATTGGATTCTTTCAGGAAAGTGAACACTTCTGAGCATATTGCGGAGGATATGGCATTGCCGGAACAATTGGTTCGCTTTGTGTCCGGGCAGGTTGCTTTTGAAGAGGAAGGTCCGCAAGTGGTTCCGTTACAGGGGTTTCCTGATGAGGCAATCAATATGGCTTCTGCGCAACTTGTGCAAGATCATCTAATGAAATACCAGGACCAAAGGATACTGGCTCAGGTATTTTTACTTCATTTATTTATTTATGTTAAGTTTTAATGTAATTTAACAGCTTTGATTTACTTCTGAAACTTATCAGCTTAGTATAGTTTCTAAAGTGTTATTTTGTTTTATTAGCATACTTCTTGAAATGTTATACACAGTGTGACCAAAAGATTTCTGGACTGTTTTAAAAAACACGCATATCTTCAAGTGATTAAATATTTTATTGCATATTATTATGAATACATTCCATTGGCAGCAATCCACATATTACAACGATTGTAAAACCTTTCAAAGCATTGCTGGAAGTCCTTGTTAGGGATAGCCTCCAGGAAGTTGGTCGTAGCTTTTTGAATGTCTTTGATGTCAACCAAATGCATGCCTTTCGTTTTAAATTTTAGTTTAGGGAACAAAAAATAGTCACAAGGTGACAAATCGGGTGAGTAAGGGGGGTGATTAAGAACCACAACACCTTTGGATACCAAAAACTTGTGAACGACAATGGCTTTGTGAACAGGGGCAGTGTGTAAGAGTGACAAACTGTCTTGTTCACGATACTGTTGGCGAACTCTTTGAATTCTTGCCGTTAAACGCTTCAAAACTTCAAAGTAATAGTTTCCATTGACAGTTGTGCCCTCAGGAACAAACTCAACAGTTGGATCCAGCCTTTCATGGGTAATTAAATCAGTCTGGAAAATTTTGGGACACACTGTGTGTACTTGCTTCTTAATAAACAAAGTTATTTATCATCAGTATCACCATGCTGTTTATAAAAACAGATCATAGTTTGCAATATGGACACCATTCATGGTATGGTAAATCTAATTACGACAATTTTTCTGTCTTTCATGTAGGATCATTATTATGCCCCGTCTCTCTTACGCAGTACACGTGTCCCATGAAACATCTATCAGTCTGTGGGTGGTCATTCATCAGCTTAATTGGAATGAAGAATGTTGTACAAATATATATTCAAATCTCAGCCATTACTTAGTTATTTTGAATGGAAATGGTGGAAAATCGAAGGAACGTGCAGATTAAATAAAAATATTTTAAGTGATGTGAAGTGAATTAGCTACGTAGGAATGGTACGCTACTCATGTCTAGCATACTTTGTGACATAATGTACATACGTTTTGCTTACTGTTCAAAATGACTTAATGTATTTTTTATTTTAAATAGGATTTGACATTTCCGTGGCTGTGAATTCAAAGATGGCCGTCTTCTGGGTTGTAGCGCTGTGTATTCCATCATCACCCTGACGATTGAGGTGACAAGGACCGCTGAACTTCTACCAGACTACATGGTGCTACAACCCAGAAGACAGCCATCTTAAGCTTATATTAAAACAGCGTATGTTGCTTTTGTTTGTTTTCATAATTGTTTTGTATGAGAGCAGCAGAGTTCATCTTATGCCTGCAGTTTGTCCTGATACACCATTGTTATTGAGTATCTTTACACACCTTTAAGATCTATTGCCTTAATATTTGATTTTGATTAATAGGAAGTGTTTTAGCATTAAGATCTAGTCTTAAATTTTTATCAGATGAATTAGAGGCAGCTTAGCGACTGCCAGCCGTGTAGTGATTTGTGGAGGTAAATGAAGACATGATGATGGGACCATAGATCTGAATTTAGTGTTTTGAATTGAACATTCAGCACTCACGTCAGTCATGCACATCCGTAATTTTTAATCTTCCGTGCCTGCAACATGCACCACCCAACTTATCCTCCTTGATTTTATCTCTTAAGACATTTTAAAGAATTCATCCATGTCTAAGGCCCGGATAACATTTTGTAATGTGAGAGTTTTTATGGTTGTTAGCCCTGACTCAATTATCAAGTTGGGGAATTTTTTCATATTGGTTTTTGTTTGTTGATTACGTAGCCACTTATTCTGAAACTAAGTTTTAATAAGTGTAATATATGTCAGTGATGTAGTATAACTGTATTATTTTTTAGCGTCAGCAGGTCCGGGTGGTTCCCGTAACATCAGTTCGCTACGAGTGGAAGGGGTGTGATGGAGAGTTCTGGCTTTGTGGCTACGAAAACAAAGTTTATGCACCAGACTATCCACAGACCTGTTGCTGCTGCTGCAGCCTCAGCTAGATAAGAGCAGACTGTACCTTGGTGTAAGATTCATGACAGTTTATCTGATTGTATCACGAATGGACCAAATGGATTCTATCAACAATGAGATTAAGAAATTCTGGAGATTTATGTTGTATGCTTAATGCATAGAGAGGTTTTCTACCACTGTTTGTAGTTCTGTTATTTATGTAAATTAGAATTTGTTTAATATTTGTGGCTTATACTCCCAGGTATGCTGGTCTTAAGTCAAAATCTTCTCCACAGAAGGCCAGAGCCCTATCCATGGACCATTCTCTTACCTGAAAAACATTAAGGACCAATGAGAAACTGATATAACAGTATTACTTGCGTAGACAAATCTTTTAAATGTAAAGATCTTTTTGTTTTTTATGCTGATAAAAGCAAAAGTAAAAAAAAATTAAAGTGCAATATCTTAATAAAAAGTCTTCAAATAATACTCATAATTAATTGTATTTCATACTTTAAGTCACCTTATTTAAAATCATACAACTTGCTTCTGGCTTCAGATCTGTGGCCATTTCCATTATGAAAGTCCAGAATATAGCATAAAATTTTAAAAATTTCTGAGAATTTCTCACTTTTTAGGTTTATTTTCATTATTTGTTCAGTCCTATTCATTTACTATTTACGTTATAGGTCGCAATTTATCACTTGTATTTTTTTGGTACAACCTCTTTGGCCCTGAACGATGTGTTACTGCGCAGAATATTTTTTAAATCAAGATTTGACTGTCCAATAGCATTTGTTTAGTACAGACTTATACTGTAGTTATATATATTGGGTATTATCAGTGGCTTGTCAAGTAGTGCAAAGTTCTTCAGGGGAAAGGTGTGAAGCATTAAAAAATTATATATAACTGGATTAAATTGCCAGGTTATGTTGCATGGTTTATCAAAACATAATAAAAACCCACCAATTTTATCATCATATTTCTGGCAGAATATTAAAGATAATTCCACATTTTGTTCTATTTATTTATTATTTTCATATAAATTACTTTGAATTGAATTTGTTAAGGGTGTGACCTAATCTAAAATGTTAAACCATTCACTTTCATGTAACCTATGTTATCATTAGATGAAGTAGTCCACTATATATATATTCTTTTAATTTAGTTTATAATATTCAAAAGAATATTGGCAAAACATAATTCAAAGTTCATTTTTTATCTCATGGTGTTCTTTTAAATTTCATTTTAATGTGAGGCCATCGTAAAACTTATTATTTGCATAACAATTCAAATTGCCTGCAGTCGTCCTGCAAACATCAGTTGGAAGCGCGGTGTTTACGACATACACAGTCTTATGTAAGTTAAAAATTACAAGGTAATCAGTTTTTCTTATGTTTCAACTTTCATTTCTATTTATCAGTCATAACCTGTACCTCAGATATTTATGGTTTCATGGTTTGAACTGTTTGTAATAATTATAACTTGGGTCCAGTTTTATATAATGTAATTTTTGTACCCAGGCTTGTCTTCTTCTTCTATGGCTCTCCGGTCCGTATTCGGTCCACGGCCTCCTCAATTCTCCTCTTCCATTCGGTCCTCTGTTAGGTCCGTCTGTCCGAGGCTTTGATCGAGGTTTCGAAACATCTTCCTTTTTACGGTGCAAGGTTGTTAGCCTTGCGACCAACCCCCAACCTGGAGGACCAGGGTACCTGTCTTAGTCTGACCTCTCCCCCTCGACCAATCTGGCTAGGGACGCTACCAGTAGCTATGCTACCGCCAGCATAGCTCTTGGGACGATGGGTGGAATTACATTTCTGTTCATATAATTTACATTCCCTGTAGCATGTACAAGAATTGAAGTTTGATTTCTGTGTCGTGAACAAGACATCATGTAAGTAAGTCTGTGTATGCTTTTAATGGTAATATCAATCTGGTCTCTCTCTCCGGGTAAATAAGTCAGTCGAAGATGACTGTCTTCTTCGATGTTGGGCCATGTAGTGAGCTAGAAATTGACCAGCATTTCAGATCAACTCTGAGTTTAATTCTTCATATATTTCTTGACCATCTTGCATTGCCTGAAATGGACAGTAAGCCATAGCTGTGGTAATTATGGTGCCTTAAATTTTGAAAAAGTACATTAAATCTGTGCTGACACATGCGCTGAATGTTATACAAAATGCCAATTAAAAAGATATGTTATGCATATCCCTTTACTGAAAATATTTACAATTCTAATTACAGTGGAACCTCGATATAACGCGGGTTTCGGGGGACAGCTTCAGTCCCCACGTTTTATGTGAAATTGAAATTTATCTAGTTTTGAAATCCCTGATATTATGTATATTTATCCAGTGACTAAAATACATGAAATTTAAGGTACATTTTAAACTTACGTTTCACAAATGCTAATGGCACTTAACATTTATGCCTTCTTATGAAAATAGTCATGTAATGTAGTTTGTTGGAAGTGGTGACTGCATTTTTTTCAGAACATTGCTTAATATTAACCAGATGCAGCAAATGAAGATATCCACTATGTCTGTCCTTCTAACCATATCATCACTTCTCTGATATTTTCTAGCACTTTGATCAATTTCGGAAACAATACTTCACAGGAATCATCACCGTTGTTTTCCGAGACACTGGCTCCAAATTCGTCAGTGGTCTTTCCACCTACAATGTGGTACAGGTAGTTTTTTTGGAATTTACCTCTCTAACAGCTCTGTGGGATTTCCAACCATCAGTACTTGAGCAGGCAAAAGAATTAACATCAGAGCAGTGAAACTCTTCCTGTCTCAACCAAAAGTAGTGCTCACTAAATTTTGCTGTTTGAACAAAATAACACTAAGTTTAGAGAAATCAGAAACATACCTATTCATAGTGGACTATGGACTTTACCCTCTATACCCGCACACTACAGCAGGTAATGTTGCAATACAGTCTTATAATGTAACCAAAACATTTCATAGGAGTTTGTGTGACGTAAAACATGTAATCGTATTGGGGGACATGATCACAGCCGCGGTATAATGACGCACGGTATATTGAGGTTCCACTGTTCTTGTAACACTTCATTTGTTTTCAATTTTCCACTTACGCTACAGCTATGAATAGATTTTAATGTTTCAAATTGTTTTATTCCTCACAGAACAGGTGTATTGACAAAATATAATTTTATCAATAATGCTAAGGTAGGGCATAATTGAATATGTAAGGGGTTGGTTTTAAAAGCATTCAAACATACCCCACTCTCTTTGATCAAGGGTGTCCCTCATGTCGTACAGTAGCAAAACGTTAAATTTTACTGGTTGTGATTATTGTCTTACTTAATTATTTGAAATCTCTGCTGTTCAACTATGTACGAGATCTTTTTGCAGATTGTCTCAAGAAATTGTTGCTGTATGATGCATGACAGCATTAAAATAATATTTTGAATACCGAAATGAGTGACAATATGTATCACAGACAAACGATGCCACCAAATTCCAGCTTCTGTGACTCAGCAAGCTTCTTGTCCTTCCAGAATGGGGCAGCACTGGTTTCCTATAACTTTTCAAAATTGGTGCTAAATTTAATGTGTTCAAAGTTGCTCCCTTTTGCCATAAGTGTGAAATTATATTCAGTCTTGTCATCCACCACTTTAAACTCAAATCATGAATGGCTGTGTGGTATGCAAAAGTTGCTTCTATAGCTGCAATAATAAGTTCCTTGTCTTGAGGGTCATCGCTTTTAGAAAATGGAGAAGAAAAAGATAGGTGTATTCTGGGTTGTTGCACCCTGTAGTCTGGTAGATGTTTACCGAAGTTTAAGAAGTTTTTGCTGCCTCTATTATCGCCTTGATGGTGGAGGCAGCATGATCTCTGAAACGTCGGTAAACATCTACCAGACTACACGATGCAACAACCGAGAAGACAGGCATCTTCATGTCATTCACTCATATTTTTAGAAGTAAGAGGGTGTATCTTGCCATCATTTTATTACCTGTATCATTATACGAAGATATCATTGCATTTATTATATTCAGTGAAGGAAGTTAATTGAAATGCATTTATTCATGTCTTGTAGTAAAAAATGTACAATGTAGTGTGTTTATGTGCTGAATTCTATATTCAGAGTATTCATGTCATACCTGTAATGTCTGGTGGAATAGTGACTAAGTTTTCTATGTTTTTGTGAAGATTGGATTTTAAATGAGAGAGTACTAAGAATCTTTGATACTGCAATAATATTTGGGTGGCATGAAAGCGAGATAATTTTGATATCTTTGGGTGAAGTAAAGTTTCCTCAAAGTGTGAATGTAATGAATTTTTGAAGTATAAATTCTTTATGCTGTTGTTTACATTGCTTGTTTAATAAGTGTTCAGCATGGCCATAAATACAAATTTTTTATGTTGACTATCATTCACAAAAGTATTGAAACGTTTCCATATAAGACTATATTTTTCTTGTGAACTACAGTAATTCTGGTGCCTTACTTTAGAAGTGACCCTGAATAGAAATTGTAGTTTGGTAGTTTACACTTTTGTCTTTATTTTAATACCTGAATATATATTATATTTATAGACCAATATAAATGTGAAATTAATATTAAATTAAAGATTATATACTTATATTTTTATTAACTAAATCATTCATTCCACAGGTAAGAATACATTTAAAATGCATGCAAGTTCTTCACTCAAGTTCACTGACCAATAATTATGTGTTGATCAATCTCTAAGAAGGAATGTATTGTACTAGGATTTCAACAAAAACACCTGAAATGTTTAAACAAATTAATGGTGTCAGATAACCTTCAAGTTTGTCAGCTGTCAGGAATTGAAATTAGTAGCAGCCATATTGGCATTGCTGATTTCGCACTGTGTCCAATGATGAATATGAATGCAGTTCTCAGCTCCCAGCAGGAAATGCTTGACTCAGGAGCCAGGAGACAAGCCACTTCTTTGAGAAATCCAATTGCATCGTCCGCAGAATTTTGCACAATGATCTCAGTTTCTATCCATATAAAATTGCGGTAATTTAGGAGTTAAGTGATCGGGACATGACAAATCATAGGATTTTTTTCTGGAGGAATTTCTCGATATTTTGAATGAATATGATGTGATTAACATTCTCCTCATGACGGACGAAGAACATTTTCATTTACCGGGTTCTGTAAATAGAATTTTCGTTGCTAGGCAGTTGAAATCCACATCAGCTACACCAACATCTTCTTCACAGTGAAAAAGTGATTGATGTGGGTTGGTGTACTTTGGGTTAATAGGCCCTTACATCTCTAGAGACAGTGCAGGTGCAGCTGTTACTATAACATACAATGGCCGTGTGAAAATGTACCTTGAACTAGAGTAGCTTTGTCGCGGAATTGGTCTCCGTACCATATGGTTCCAACAGGATGGGGGGACTGACCATACGGTGAGATCATCGATGAATATGCTGTGCAGTTATATTACATTCATTAAATACATTTGAAATATCTTAATTCTTTCATAGAATTTTTATGCATGAATAAATAACTAAAATGTATGTTTCTAACAAACAGAATTTCTTTTGTTACTCATAAGATCTTCACAAACAAGCTACAACTTCCAGTCTTCTACCACAAGTTAAAAAGGTTATTTATGGCAGCACCAATATCCCAAATAAATTCTTTGAAGAAAATATAATATAATTGTTTATAAAAACACTCAAAGAAAGAAACACACACATATTCCCATGCACAAACAGACTCGCTCACACATGCTAGAAATAACGCATGTTTTTTAAGTTACATCATTTAAGCTTGATATGGATAAAGGTTTCTTTACATCAGTCTTCAGAAATTAATGGTGGTTTGTGCAGCTGAGCCATTAATATTTCTTCCTTGGCATCAATATTGCTGCATTTCTTCATCTTCTGTGGGTCTCTTATTTCACTGGAGCAGACCTCCAGTTTCCTGGAGAAAGAATACAAAGCTATCGTGTACATGCAAACTCGATAGCTTAATAACACAGTTAAAATTTTATTTATGATATAGGAAATATTTCAGATGATCATGCATCATTTTCAATAAATATATTTTATTATTTATAAAATTGTTGAATAATTAATGCCTGTTTCCTTGACTGCATGGCTTGCGACAAAGTTTGAACTTCCCTATGGCTGGGACACCAATTAAATTTTCACATTTTACCATACAATAAATCTTACATGTGGCCATTCATTAACACTTAATATACATTGAAATTTGGGGATTATTTTGTTGTTTATATATTTAAAACTTGACAGTTTACAGTTATGCATTTATGGTCTTTTTCATGTATCCGTTGAATTAAAACTGTAATTCGATAGAAGTAAACTTTAAAGTCTGTGTTGTTTGGTAAGGCAAGTTTGGAAGGTTGTGTGAGTTTGTTTGTTTTCCCTCAGGAAGGCTGCAGAAACTGAAGTTAGGATAGTCATCTCTCAAGCAAGATTTAAAGCTGGGACCTATCTTAAAAAGAGCAGAAGTATTAATAACTACACCATGATTTATAATTGACTAAATTTAATGTAGTATAAAATTTAAATTTTGTTAATTAAGGATATTTATTTCATGCTGTAGTTTTAACTGAAAATATATGAATTTCTTAGCTTGATTTAGAAATATTAATTTTAATGTCTTTTGAAAGAAGGTTTTGATTTATTTTGGCAGACCTCCAGGAACAAGAGGTCGCAGTACACTATCTCCTTCAGACATTTTATGCCTTCTGCTGCTTATGTTTCCAACTGGACTACCTCCTTTGACAGTTACATGAAACATGTGGGCAAAGTGATGACTTCGGTGGAAGATAAAGATCAAAGCATCATTATGCATCACATACATATAAGTGACATTTATTTTTGCTCCATTTTCTGTGTTAGTCGTAAATTAGGTTTCGTCAGATTATATTATTTTTTGTGAGTCATATAATTCCCAACATATTCTGAATATACACAATGTTAGACAGTTATGTTCTGTGTTGTGATGCTACATAGTCTTGTAAGTGGTTAGCAAAGTTTCAAAGTTACACTGGGTGTCATCTACAAGACCATGTGGCTTCATAACCAAGAAGACTTTGATCAACGTCATAATCACTGTGACCACCTCAGATGAATTGATAGTTAAAGTTTGGTTGTGTTAATGAAATCTATGCCAATTAAAAAATGGTTTATGAGCAGTTCATTAGACATCTTCCACTTTCCATTTTCTTAGTATCGTCACGGTGGTTTAGTAGTTAGAATGCTCGCCTTGTAATCCTGGGGTCCCGGGTTTGATTCCCGGCGGTACCCGAATTTATAAGTTGTGTTGGGCAAGCCCGTGGTCTAGGCAACACGGAGTTTTCCTCCGGGGCTTCCCCAGTTTCACCGTGGCATCCCAACAATTACATACAGAAGAAGGCAAAGGTAAACTACTTCTGAATCAACTGCCTAAAAAATATATGAACAGGCCCCAGTCCAAGAAAAGGATGGAAGGATCCTGTTCATAATATGTCACCAACCTCCTGTAAAGGAGATGGCGTAATAATAATAAGAAGAAGTATCTTCATGCGTAGTATTTGTTGGCCATATTGAATTTTATTTAACATCTTTTTTGTTTGGAAATACTCGTTACTTTTCAGCTAATACACGAGTTGGTAACATTGCAGTTGGAGTTCCTTGCAGTTGGTGTGTTGATGATTATAGCAATAAAGAACCAAAGAAGAGAAAGAGAGGTGGAATTTTGAGGGAGTGGCCCTCTTGTTTTATCCTATTTTTAAGTTCTTGACTACATACAGCATATTTTGCTCAAAACGTGTATCAGCATGACAGAGATGTTTACAGTTGACTATCCTCTTGGGGTGTGAGTTAACCTTCTTTCTGTATGTTTTATGCAGTTATGGATACTGTCGTCTTACATCGGATTATGTTTATGCAAGCTTTGCCTCTGAGTCCAATAGAGGCCATTAAACTTATTCTGTTCTTTTCTGATTCTAATTCTCAATTTATTTATGTTCATATTACAATACTTGATGGCAGGAAAAAATTATGCTCAGTTAGTTTACTGTTTTACTTAAAACTTATTTGCTTTTGGTATGTGTCTGTAATGTAAGCAAATACATAAAAAAGGGTATCACATGATTAATCCCTGTCATAGGCAGTATAGAGAAAGATTACTTTTTTCGTGGGCTATTATATCTCAAGACATGCTTCAGACTGGAAGCTTTATTTTGGTTTTTACGTTACAGTTTGCATTCAAGCAGGCATTCTGTGAGTTTTAATATTCAAACTAGCCCTTGTTATATTTGTTTATTCAAATAATATTGATTTTGCGTGGTTCGTATTGATTTAAGAAAGCTGTACATAATTTGTATTTTCCACTCAAAACTGCATACACCAGAAATAAGTAACTGGGACATTTTGTAGGTCTGTAAAATTAACCTCACCAATCGTTTCTGATACCCCCCACCCACCCCTAAGAGAATAATGTTACAAAGGTTCACATTCATTGACTTATCAGTAATTTTGTTTCCTTTCTCAGTTTGACCCCTTTTTGCTCTCGTATTTGTTACAGTCGAGTGTCTTCGTGACCTACAGATTTTTCACCTTGAATTATCACTTCATCATAGGGTACAACCCACTTTTCATGTTCCTCTTTGCTGATCAGTTTAACGTTCACAGTATTCTTCGAAGTTGAAGGAGTAGAACCATTTGCTTTCTCTTGTTTCGCTTCCTGTGGCTGTGCATTGCTTCCTTCCGTAGCAACACAGTCCTCATCAGTGGCTAGATGTCGGCCGTCATTGTGACATGGCAGCTAGGAATCAATGAACATCCGAGTCAGAAGAAGTGAAGCTTTATGAGACATTTAGTGATGCTGTTTCTGATACTAAAATTATTTGGCATTTGTTTATATTGATGAAAATTAATGTTGAGGATAGTGGAATTAATGTCAGGGAGTACAAGAAACCCAAAAAATGCTAAGAAACTTTCTCATAAGGACATATTTACAACTCACCCTATAAGACAGTCCAGTCGGAGGTTCGAAAAGTCCGTGGTGTTGCCGATATTTTATGACAAGCATGAGAGCAGCAATAATAGACATGAATATTACTATTATCACACTCATCGCAATTGTAAGTTTCATTTTGTCGTCATTTGTCCTTGTCTCCTGAACGCTGCACTGGTATTGCTTTGGCAGCGTAATTCTAATGACAGTATCGATGATTTCCACATTCAGCTATAACAAATCAGTGACTGCGTTTTTTAATGCAGCTTTTAAATGTTTTATTCTAATGGAAGTGTTATGAATTATTTGTAATTTGCATGAAAGTCTTCAGTTTCAGAAAGAAATTTATATAAAATGTCGTGTGCTACTGAAATGGTAATAAGAACAATGAGTGGCGATAGTTATGAAATATTAATTGAAATATATGGTTACATATAGGATACATAATTATCAGGCTAATGTGATCATATATTTATCTGTCCCAGCAATACAAAGTTTGCATCACCACAGTTAAATGACATACAGCATCATATTTTTAATACAGGATCTACTAAAATAAAATGGACCAATTTCTCTTACCATAGGTTTTCTTAATTATGCTTTTCTGTCACATGGCTGGAAAATATATATTGAATTAGAATCTGCACCTACTTGCTACAGAAAGAAGTAACTTTATCTGTGTTCTGTAGATGTATATACTAATTCTTTAATACTGTATAAGTTCAGCTGATGGCAGCTGTGATCCGTTTACTGAATTTCATAAGAATTTTTAATGAGAAGATGCACATTGAAATTCTTGAATGGAGATACACTGTACATTCTTAATTTTTGTGAACAGTGAAAATATGCATGTTTACTTTTAAGGTCTCACATTAACAGATATCTGTGTTTCAGAAACTAAATTTTCATGTATAGTGGCCCATCTACGTATGAATCTGACTTGCGAGTCTGGCTCGGCGAGCTTGACTCGTGAGCCGGGCTCAGATATATTTCACCACACATGCATAGCAGACTCGGCTCGTGACACCCCACCCACAAACGAGTTTGGCTCGATGGAACCCGAGCCGAGCCGGACTCGTACGTGGATGGGCCCCTTATGACTGAACAAATAAACATTATTAACCTGTATTATGTGATGATAGGTGATTTATATCCTCATAGTATGAGGCTGTTGGCCAAACTTCAACTCTGGGATCAGATGGATTATGTTTAAGCCACCGATGCACAGACGATAATGGTTAAATTGCTGTTTTATAATGATAATTTAACAAGCAGAACAGTTATCATCATTATTAATTCTTTCGTTGTTTTAAGAACTTGAAGGTGAGTTTATTCAGAAATATTTTCCATTTCTACATCAACAGTAAGCCTTGCATAGTATATGAATGTTATCTTACCATTTGGTTCAAATTGGGTGTTACTTCTTGTAGGCATTTCTGAAGGTATTTTCCTGAAATGAACATATTTCCTTCTTCTACTGCTGGATTTTTCACTAGTATGCAGATGGTAAGGTTTTCTCCAGTGACAAAAGGTCCAGGTGACACATACCAGATGTCTTCTGGTGAAAATGTTTTTTTCCATTTTTCCTACAATTTTGCATAATTATTAACCATCAGTTAATTTTATATGTAAAAATCTACTCTCAGCCCTCATCATCAGGGATCATTAACAAATCTGTGATGATGAGGACGAATGGGTTATTGCAACCACTTGATGTGGCTGATTGCCTGAGAACACTTAATTGAATTTAATAGCTGTAACAGTTATAGATCATGCAATTGGAAATGCAGGTCACATTGGTGTGACTGGCTTCTGGAGTCAGAATATCGAGATTTTCTCTGTTGGCAATATCAGCAGTTTGATTTTGTACAGTGACTTTTTTTGGTTAAATTTCTTTTGTGAATCCTAAATATTGAGACGTTTATTATGCTCCTTACAAAAGTTACATATATTGTGTCCGACCCTTCTAAAACATATGTGGTGACCCAAAAAGGTCAAACCCTGGGGGAGGGGGCGTACAACAAACATAGCAATTTAGGTTAAGGAACTACCGTCTCCTAACCTTGCAGCTTCCGGTGGGAAAGCACTTCAAAGGCTCGGTTTATGACGGGCCCAGTGTACTGAAAGTGGCCATCCCTGGATGCAGACAAAGCAGTCTCACCCCACAACTAACAAAGGAATTTCAGAGTTTATTTTCCTTTTTTCCTCATTCCACAGTCTGACCCCTTAACAGCACAGCCGTGAATATGTCAGTTAAGGTTTTAGTATAAATTATCCAAGAAATTTTCAAGTACTCTTTCCGCGAAAACCCTGGAAGACCCCGAGACCACATATTTATAAATTAAGCAAATCTGTTAAAGATATATGCGTGAGAATAATGTAAAGATTTGTATGATTGAGTGGGTAAACGGGAAATGGCTAAGAGTGGTCATAACATTTATTACCAGGTTTTGCATACATTTAAATAAAATTTGTATATGAAGTGGGAGTAAAGTGTTCCAGTGATCAAAACAGAATTCTTTACGTTGCTTCACCCCCGATTAATCTTATTCCACGATATTCATTTTCTCCCATACTCTGAAGTCATCACAGGAACCCCACCACCTCACGCGCCCGTGAACGACCTGACTTGCAAAGGCAACCATTGGTATGCTGCAGG